GAATATCAAAGGGATCGAAAGAGTCAGTGGACGCTTGGCTTGTCAACCGCGACCGGCTACCAGCGGCCGTAACTATAATAACGTGACGTCACTTCCTTCGTCTTCGTACCGTCATCAGACGGTCCCTGTACACTCGGGAGCAAATCTGGTTTTCTTCAGTGAAATGTTTGGAAATTTAGAATTTTTTTAAAAACGGGATGTTGGTTATTTGGAGAGTTGGTAATTTGCTTATTTGGAGAGTTGATAAATTGCAGGTTTGAGAATTTTGTAATTTGAGGACTTGTAAAATTGTAGAATTGGAGCAATTTGGGGATGTAGAAACTAGGGAGTTTGGAGGAGGTTTGGAAATGGGAAATTTGGGAATGTAGGGGTTTGGGGAATTTGCAAGTCTGAAAATTGATGGATTTAGAAATTTGAAAATTTGAGGATTTGGGAATTTGGGAATTTAGGAATTTAGGAATTTAGGAATTTGGGAATTTGAGAATTTGGGAATTGGGGAATTTGAGAATTTGAGAATTGGGGAATTTGAGAATTTGAGATTTTGGGAATTGGGGAATTTGAGAATTTGGGTATTTGAGAAATTCGGAATTTCAGAATTTGGGAATACAGGAATGTGGGAATGCAGGGATATGGAAATATAGGAATGTGGGATTATAGAAATTTGATACTATAGAAATATAGGAATATAGGAATTTGATATCTCAGGAATTTGGAACCATAAGAATTCGAAAGCACAAGAATTGGGAAATGTAAAGTTTTTTGAAACTTGAAGACTACAAATATGAAATCTAGAAAAATAAAAATCTGGAAATGTGGAAATTCAAAAATATTAAAATTCGGCAATTAGAAAAATTTGATAACGTAAAGATTTGATAAGAAAAAATTTAGTTAGTTTTGAAACATGCTGAGTTAGTAATATAGGAATGTGAAAGTTTAAGAATTTAGAAATTTGTAAATTTGAGAATTTGAATATTTGTAAATTTGAGAATTAAAAAACATAGAATTCGATCGTCATAGCCAAAGAAAGTTTTTGTTATACCCGAGTGTACTTCATGGCTGCCTATGTATAGATAGCGATCATCAGCTTACTTTGTTCTTGACCGTTTCAAACAACGCCTTGAAAGGAAGAAACGTACCTAATGAATGGTGGAATGTTTGCGGAAGTACATATTTGCATCACCCACGCAGTTGTCGCAAATGTCAATCTGATGTATAATATTTATAAAATATTCTATTCCCAATATTCTCACATTATTAAATTCCTACATTTGAAAGTTTGTACTTTTTCAAATTTTATATTTTTACATTTCAACATTTCTAATTTCTAAATTTAAAAACTTGATATTTCTACATTTTTTAATTTCTAAATTTAAAAACTTGATATTTCTACATTTTTTAATTCCTAAATTCAAAAGCTTGATATTTCTACATTTTATAATTCCTAAATTCAAAAGCTTGATATTTCTACATTTTATAATTTCTAAATTTAAAAACATGATGTTTCTATATTTCTAAATTTCTACATTTGACCATCTGATATTTCTATATTTCTCAATTTCCAAATTCCCAAATTAGTAAATTTCAGAAATTCCCAATTCTATAATCTCTCTTGCGTGGCAACTTAGGTAGACTTTATCAGTGTTTATAAACCGCATTCTGAATGTCCCCATTCAATTTCCATTCATACTTCGTGGCACAAGATTTCATCGGCAATCAGTCAGTTGTCATGAACCCGCGATTGCGGATCTATTCAATCTCACACAGTTACGAAGTATCGTGCTGAAAATGTCAGCATACGACTGTAATGAAGAAATGGCAGGTATGCATTTTATATATGGTCATACTAATGGCAGTGCTTTAACTGTATGACGTCTTTATATATATACAGAGAAGTTTTGATCGAAGAGTTCTCTTTCATATACTGTTTCAAGATCTTCAAGGCTTTTGTAAGTAATACTTGATGCAAAATAATAGAATGATAAAATAATAAAATACATTTGATAAAGTAGTGAAATAATAACATACATGTGACAAAATAATGAAGTAATAAAATGTTTAGGATAAAACAATAAAATAATAAAATATATTTGATGAAGTAGTAAAATAATAACATACATATGACAAAATAATAAAGTAATCAAATGTATATGATAAAACAATAAAATAATAAAATATATTTTACGAAATAGTATAATAATGAAATACATATGATAAAATAATGAAGTAGTAAAATGTGTATGATAAAACAATAAAATTATAAAATATATATAATAAAACAATAAAATAATAAAATATATATGATAAGACGATAAAATACTAAAATATATATGATAAAACAATAAAATAATAAAATGTGCATGATAAAGCAATAGAAAAATAAAATATATGTGACGAAACGATAAAATAATAATATACACACGATAAAAGAATAAAATACCAAAATATACATGATGAAACAACAAAATATAAAATACACGTCATAAAACGATAAAATAATAAAATGCACATAATAAAAAAATAAAATACAAAAACACACATGGCAAAATACTAAGATAATAAATATACATAGCAGAGAGTAAAATAAAAAAAAGCACACGATAAACCAACAAAATAAAAATGAGCCCGATAAAATGATAAAGCAATAAAAATACATATAAAAGCTGTAGATAAATAAACGAATCGACGAAACAAAAATGCATAAAAATCCGCAACCGAGGTTATACAAATTTGAAGTTCTCGCTAATCGAAATTCCGCGCAATCAAATTCTCATCGTGTCATGTTACACGATGTACCACGATCTTTATCGGCGTTCCAGCAATGGCAGCGAGATCGTAACGATTTGGCGAGCGTCGAATGCGAGTTCGCTGGTCCTCGAAGTAACACGCTGACAAATCACCTGTGCAAGTGGCCAAAGACAAGCGTGCCCACTCGCGAACATACGGCCAGTACTCGTCGATTTTGGCTACATTTGTACGTGGGTCGTCAGCTATGTGTACACCGGCCAAGAACAAGATGCCATATATGCGAGCCAGCGCACACGGTTACAAAGTAGATACGTGGGCCAAAGGAGAACGCGTTACTGCGCCGCCAGGCTCCAGCATTTCAAGATTACGGGACTGGCAAGGACTCTTTTCACTACGCGAACGGTGCTATAAACGCGGTTAGCTAAGAAACTATTATTTCTGTTTACTGTTTTTATATCTGTAACGGTCTTCGGGAATGTTTCATATGGGGACATTTTAACCCCTTTAGTGCCATTTATTTAACAGATGTCAAGACTAACTATTCAGGGCTATGACATTAAAACGAACAAAGAAAATTAAAATGTAACTATTCAGAGATTCTTGATAATGTAACTTATAGTTGGACATAAATTTCAAGTTGAAGAGTATTTAAAATTTCAGTAAGGTGTTGGATGACCAACGTCCAAACAAATAAGATAGCAAACACTACAGACTCATCGCCAACAAACATACTAATCGAAACGATTTCTACTCCTTACTCATCCTGGATCTTGCACTCATCCTGAGTCACATTGTCCCTTGACCACAACCTATCTCCAGCAATAGTATATAAAACCTCGTAATATGGAAAAATGTTCAGAAAGAGTCACAAAGAGTCGAGTACTTAGTCGACCCAATAAAGCTGTTCGAGTTTTCTTAAAATAAAGTGTGTTGTCAATTCTCCCGGAATCCAACAAAGGATTGTCACATTTGAGCTGTAAGTGTGTCACGAGTGAGACTCGTCAAAGTACGGGAAGGGGTTAACCCCTAAATTTACAAGATTAGAGACTGAAATTTAAAAGTTTAGAATCCTGGAATTTTCGCTGTTTGGGAATTGGACTTCTAAATTTGGAATTTAGAAACTCCAAATTTTTTCTTGTTTTCAGAAGGTGTTTTATCTAAATCACACAATAACATTTTTCTGAATGTGATTCTAAATATTTCGTGAACGAAGCTGTCTGCATATTGTGTCTTATAATTAAAGTAAATTTGTTAGTAAATTTTGTAATAAATTTATTAAAACGTCTTTTGGTAAAATAGCTAGCTCCTATCAGATTGAAATGTTTGTAAAAGCTTCTTGGTTTTGCCCTACATTTGTGAGGCGTTCTGTATATGTACGATATGTGAAAGTTTGATAAATGTATGTATGTTTGTACTAGTCGATTGTGGTTTATATATGTGATTCGATATGACAATTTGAAATATATATTTTTCGAAACGCCTTGCATATATGTATGATATATGAAAGTTTGATAAATGTATGTATGTTTGTGTTAGATGTTTATGGTTTATGTGTGTGGTTTAATATGACAATTTGAAATATATATTTTTTAGCTAAATTGAAGAAATTATACATATGATGTATGCAAGTTCGGTAAATGTATAAGTAGTTAGGTTAATCTCTTGCACTTGAAGTATAATTATCACCATTCAGCTTAATGTAAGAATTTGTGATAAATGTTCTTTAGTCAAATTTATGAAGATATACATATATCTAGAAGTTTGATAAATGCACACGTGATTATATTAGTTGCTTGTACTCTACTCAAAGAATTCGTATTTCAAAATTATTGTGTTAAATCAAATAATGTGTGCCATAGTGACAAGAAAATTCATGAAGATACTAAAAAGAGTACTTTAACGTTTTAATGTTTCTATAATTAAGTTTTAAACGATAATTTTATAAAACGACATAAAATACCGCATATTAATTTTTATTAATAGTTTTTTATGATTTTCACTGTAGTTTACTTCTGATCCTAAATAATCAGAAAAACCACCAATTTCATAAAATTACATGAAATATTTAGCAAAGATGAATGTTATAACATCGGAGACTCAAAAGTGACCGTAATTCAGAAACCAGGTCAAGCCGAACTGTATCTTCATGCGAACCGTTTTTTATTGTCTGTAAAAGTTGAATCGGTTCCCCGAAATTGGTGCCACCAATAAATATGTACTCTCTACTGTGAAGAGAACTAAATGCATATTCATACCTGCAATAATTCGAGTCGCGATGAAGCCTGTGGTGTCGCCATGGTTGGTTAAACGCCGATCGTTCTGCGACCACTCGACGGGTGATACTCCGTTTTTTCTGAAATCAATTTTGTTATATTCCATTTTTAGTACAGCAATTTACAGTTGACAAATAACGATTTATATAATACGTGTGTGTTCAAGTGTGACATTTGCTTTGTCTAAGAATACGCGTGCTAGAATAAGTGTCCCAATTGGTTTTCGATTTTGAGGAAACTTAAAATAAATCTAACCTTTCTCTTAACACTTTAAATATCATTATAAGATTATGAGAACGCTTTACTAATAAATTTTATATTCAATATATTTGACAAGGTTAAATTTGCAGTAACCAATTTTTTATGATATTAGACTTTCGAAATTACCTTAAGGTTCCTCTATTTTAATAAATTTTTACTGCAGCATTTATCCAAACAGTTCGAATCGATCCTTACTAATCGCGTCACTATTTGAACGAATATCATCTATCATTTAAACAAAACGTAACAACAGTCAATATTAATCGCATGAAACACGAAATGAAGTGGAGAAATCGCTCTAACAGGTGATTTCCCTCCAATTTACCAGCATCAGCGTATCATTCACACGTGTATCATTTACCGAACGCTCGTGTTCACGAAATGTAATCACCGTTCAAATGATACAGCGTGGGCCGATAGGTGGATCGTGCGAATCGATGTTTCTCTTTCGATCGGTTGCTACGAATCAAGATCGAACGGTTTCAATCGTGGGTGGTTGAATCGACAACGAGTGGGCGAGTTCAATTTTGCTGCAATTACGTTTCCTCGTACAATCGTTTTTTGTATCGTCTTCCTGTACTATTGTTATTTGACCTCACAAGTAGCTTCCCATACTCCGTATATTATTGCAAGCAAATATGTCGTAACATTTTCTTAAAAAATGAAATGGACACACAAAATACCAAAGAAAAATTCTAAACAGTATAAAGAAAATTACAACAAAATTATTATTGAGGATTACAAGAAAGTTAATATATACGTTCATTTAAATTCAAATTTGGCGCCAAGTCTGATGGAAATGAACTAACAAAAATTCTTCACTAATAACGTATAGAAAAACCATCTTTAAAAAAGAAATTAATAGATGTGATGCAAAAATCTAGTTAAAAGATAAGTAAAATAAATAAGATCTGTCTATGATAGTAATAATTAAATGTTTTAAATTTGGCGCGAAATTCAAAAGTCAAAATACGATGAAAAGTTAATAGCAGTAAATTAAAGAATTCAAGTTAATGCAAAGATAAGCTTATTTAAAATATTTAGTAATAATTCTGTCTGCATTATATAATTTTAAATTTTCAACTACAAATTTTGTAAATGTACAATAAAATTTTCCATCGTAGTACAGTACTCTTTCAATAATGCTTGGCTACAAGGTGATTCATCATACTGAATGACAATCGAGTAGTCTATTTCGAAAAAGGGAAGATCCACCCCATTTGAATTCCAACAAACGCAGTAATGGCCGGCCTTGGCGATGCTCCCTGCAGGAAATCATCGACTCGACATCGTTCGTCGTTGCAATAGTGTTTTTAGGCCAGCGGCTATCGTGAGTCACGACTCATGACGTAATCCTGACAGTCTTTTATGGTTAAGAAACTGAGCGACACTGCTTCTTGTTTTCGATGTTCCACAAACGATGGAACCTCGTTGACGCTCGAATTAGAACTTCACCATTCGTTTATGGAGAAAGCATCGACTCTATCTCGCCAATCGATTGTACATACACTGCTCTTTATTCATCGACGTGTAAACTCGAATCCTGTTCGATTGCCCCATCGAGATTTACGAACTCAAGACAACACGAGGGAACAAACGCACCCATTACCGAGTCGATTCGACTATTTAACGATTCGAGCACCGAGCTGTCGATCGTGATCGGTTTGCATGTTGCACGCGAGAGGTAAATGTAAATTCCTTAATTTGATACAGTTTAAACAACATTAATATAAAGGAGGAACGCAGAATATTCAGCATGAGTTTCTAGGAAAAATGGAGAGTTGGGGGAAAGTTCTTCGTTGCAACATTAATATGGATGTAAATATTAATACAGTTATTATCATATCAATAAGCTTGTGGAATAATTTTGAATCATTTTGTGATTAATTATGGTAATGTTAGAGTGTAGTGTATTTATGAGAGGATTTTGTTATTTCATTTTTAGAAACAACAATGTTACATTTTCATCTAGTTATTGTTTAATCATTGTGCGGTGTGATTAATGACAAATGATGAAATTATAATATGTGATTAATTAATTACAAATGGTTCAATTTTAACTTAAGGTTGAATACGAATAACTGAACTATAATTTGTGTATAATTAATAAATCGTTGAATTACAATTTGCCATTAATTGTTTGTTAATGATTAAACCGTAATTTGTGAGTAATTAATAAGATTAAATTGCAATTTGTCATTAATAAATAAAAATTTGTGATTAATTAATCACAAAGGATTAAACTAAAATCTATGACGTTATAAAATAAATAAAATAAATTCATTAAACCTTATAAAATTTATTGAGTACATAAATAAATATTAATTAATTAAAATTTGCACCTGAAGTTTGTCCCAAAAGCGCCATTTTTTATGGGAGAGCGATCAGTGCCGCAGGTACAAAGAAGAATGTTATTTTGTTAATCGAGAAAAATATAAATTAAAAGGAATTTAACGCGAAGAGTATAAATCTAGCCGTTTAAACCAGAACGTCTGCTGACCCAGGTATTCGACTCTGTTCGACTACTCTTATTGCCGGGATTATTTATAGTTTTACTAAAACTTACTTCGCTAGGATTACCATACGCTACTCCCATGAGCATGGTCACCTCAGGTACACGACTTCATTTCTATAATTAAACGTGGGCACCCGCGAGAGTGCGAGGCCATTTCCGATGGAATTCGATGCCTCTTTCGGCTCGATTCTCAGGTGTGATCGAGATATTAACTCGTTACCGAGAATCTACGATTCGAGATACTTTCGACATACTTTTCGAGTAATTTTAGAAAAATGAGAAGTGTACGACACTGATTTTGTCTTCGTTTAATTCTTTTACTGGCATACGAAATTTTAGCATTATTCTGAAAGGAGAGATAGATAATTAGGGACAAGACAATAATCAAATAGATAGAGATAATTTTATTCGAATATAATTTATTTACAGAGAAAACAATGTTCAGAAAATTGAGATTATAAGAAAGAAAGAAAAGGAAGAAAAAAGGAACATGCCCTGTTAAAACTTCTTATAGAAACTGAGATTGGAGGACAGAGAATTTTGAGGCTAAATTTGAAAGATTCTCAAGTGAATTATTTTATTCTGATATTAGAAAGAAAATTTGTGTAGTAAGGTTGAAAGTTTAAATGAAACTTAATTTTAAAATAGTTAATCTTGACCCAAAATTAATTTTGTTTGAAAAAGTTAATCTTAATCCTAACCTAACATTATATCCTACATTAATAATTATTTTGATATTGTATTACTAATTTTGTTTAAGAAACTTAATTAATCTTGATCCTAACCTAACAGTAATAATTTTGATATTGTATGCAGAATATTTTAAAAACTTGGTCTATACGAAGTTCCAGTAAAAACAAGATGGCGGTCATATCCTGCGTGTCCATAAAATTTATTTATATTAAATTATGTGCTACACGACAGTATTCATACAAAATATTCATACAAATTGTTTTAATAACGTTTTTGATATAAAATAGCCGGTTACAATGAACGGGGATCTATTTCGGAACACATTAACTCTGACACGATTTGATGACATAAAAGTACCGCAAAATGACACTTATTCTAGCTCAACTTGAAGCTTAAGGTTCGATAAAAGTAATTATATAAATGCTACATTGGTTTAATATAAAAGAGCTGATTCTTTAAAACAATAAATTAACCAATTAAATGTGAAATTATTGTCTGTTTTAACAATAAAGAATTCGCCATTTTGTATCAAGAGTATAAAATATTGATGCAGTAATTTTTATCAAATTTCAAGCTTTACATTAGTATGCCATAAGCGTTACTTCACGGAACTTTTATGTCATCGAATTATATCAGACTTTCACTATTCAATTATACTCAGAATCATTGTATATACATTATACAACTTATGCTATCACTTTAAAAAATTATATGTGAACATAACATTGTATTCTACATGATTTAAACAGCAACACTAAATTTTTTAGTTTAAATATTAAACTTTTAATTCTGTATTATATGTCATAAAATGCAATCAAGTAATTGCACTCTAACCAAAATTAATATTTTAAGTACTTTCATGTTTCAATATTATTTAATCACAGACCTTTTATATCGATAGAATTTTTAATCGAATCTGTGACACATCGTGTTAATTATTCGCTCAAGGATATTTAATGAAATATTTCTCTCTTATTAAACGATATATTAATTTCTGTCTCATTAAACGATAAATTAATTTCTATCTCATTAAATGATGTATTAATTTCTGTCTTATTAAACGATGTGTTAATTTCCTGTCTTATTAAATAATATATTAATTTCGACCTCTACCATTAAAATTTATAAAATTACTTTTTGAAAAAATTACCTCAGAAAATTACTTTTCGAAATTTTTTTTCTTAAATCTTTAATATTAAAAATTTATTAATGTGTGTATTTTTTAAAATTTTCCGCAAAAACATTTTTTGTATTTGTTGTTTTATTGTAAGGTTGGCAAATGAATTGATTTTTGTCAGTATAGCAAGTGACAGTGGTTTTGCGAACCCCTGTGTAACGTAAACGCAACATTCGCGATCCGCATGTACAATTAGCCACGCATTCGCACATGGCACGCACGTGTTTGCCCAAAGCGGACAGAAAACATTACTCCCTGCTGCATACAGCACCATCCATTCCATTTCTCCTACGTTAATTGATACATTATTCTAATCAATTTACGATCGTCTCTATTTGCACTAATCCGTTCCATCGAAATGCATCTTCATTTATTATTCATACAAATACTAAACAGTTGCCTCACGAATCAAATCAATAAAACTCATTCATCAAATATTTCAAAAGTGTTTATGATTATTGCAGGTACAAATAAAAACGAGGGAATAGTTATGTAATGGACAGCAAAATTGATGATATTAGATTTATGAAATTAAAATTTGTTAAATTTTCTGAATTTATGAAATTTGTAAAAATTATAAAAATTATAAAAATTTAAAAATTTGCGAAATTTACAAAATTTGTAAAATCTATGAAATTATGAAATTAGTCAAAATTGTAAAACTTGTAAAATTTGTAAAATCTATGAAATTATGAAAACTAGTCAAAATTATAAAACTTGCAAAATTTGTAAAATCTATGAAATTATGAAAACTAGTCAAAATTATAGAACTTGCAAAATTTGTAAAATTTATGAAATTGTAAAATTTGCAAAATTTGTTAAATTTGTTAAATTATAAAATTTGTCAAATTTATATAGTTGGATTTTGTCGAATTCATAAAATCGATCATTTTAACAATGTTTAAAATAACACTGTTCATAAATCCAACAGCAGATACATTTTGCATAATATTGAATATGTGGGGACACGTTTAATGAAATTATAGTCAGTTTTCCTGTTTTTTGTTGACTAATGCAAACTGTCAAGCAATAATCATTTACACAATATTTTCTTCTTTACGGAATACTCATTTCTTGTTAACATATTCATCATAATTAAATTATCACAAAAGGAGAAAAAGAGAAAATTTTGTCTGGTATTTTATACTAACATAAGTAAAACTTGAATATACTATTATAATTATATAATTTATACAATTTTATATTTAATACGTACAATTTAAATTTAATATATACAATATATAATATATAAAAATACATATGTACAATACACATATATACATATACATACAATGTGTGCATGTATTTATATGTTTGTAAATGTATTTTTATGTATGTACATATTATATGTTCATGTATACAAAATATACATATTTTGTATTTACATTATTTTTCATACTTATGTATTTAGATCATTAAGTTAAAATAAATATGTGCACATGAGTGTACAACATTTAATAGTAATTAAATAACTAATTTTGAATTTATTAATTATTAATAAAATTTCCAAATTAGAAAATTATTTTTATTAACCTTCCACCAGTGTACCACTAATATTATCGATAACGCCAAATAAAACATCGAATACTTAAATTATATCGACTGTAACACTACCTAGGTAAACATGAAGACGAAAAATATTTTCCAGCTACTAACAGAATTGTACTAATTTTAAACAATAAACTGCAACATTCTATCAAAAGGATTAATTTTGCCATTCTCGATAATACACACAACATATAACAATCCACTAATCATTTTCATAACAATCAAAAACATAAAAAACTACACAAAAGAATGCTAAAATCAAAACAGCCCACCCCTCTAATAAATGAAAATCGATGAACGCATACGAATAACGGATCGCCCAATTCAATTTATCAAATAAATGATTAAAAAAACCGTCGTTCTTCGTACGAAATAGAATTTGTCCCACACCGAAACGATTAATCTCACCGGTCCAAACAAAATGCTTCTCTGTTTACAAAGCAGCTACTCTACGGCGCACCATAAATTACCTACTTACGGGGACCGAATCCGGTGCGATTAATCTTACGAAGAGTTGAAAAAAGAACGCTTACCTGGTTGAGAAGAGGTGTCCCGACGAGAGGTGATTCGCAGGTGATCCTTGTGGCTCGTTCTTACGCGAAGAGAACCGATGTAACACTGACAGTTCCGCCATCTCTCTCTCCTCGCTCGCGCCAAATCCCACCACCTATCGACTCGACTCCCTCCATTTCCATCCTTCTCCCACCAACCCTGTCCAGTATAGACAGACGAGGATCGAACGAACGATTCGAGCTGTAAGACTGTCAAAATGAACCAAAACAAAGTTGAGGGGATATGGTAAATCAGAGGGTAGGTCTCAGAGACTAGGACTTAGGAATGATGGACTAAGATTTAAGTCTTACTGCAACTTAGGTTTCAGGGACTAGGACCTGAGACTTACGAACTGGGACTTATGGAATAGGACGTAGGTGTTAGGGACTAAGACTTGGGTCTCAAGGATTAGAACCAAGGTCTCAGGGACAAGGACCTAGGACTGATGGATTAGGACCTAGGTCTGAGGGACTACGTCTTAAATCTCTAGGACTAAGACCTGAGACTTATGGACTAGGATCTAGGTGTTAGGGACTACGACTTAGGTCTTAACGACCTAAAACTTAGGACTTATAGACTAGGACCTAGGACTTATAGACTAGGACCTAGGTCTTATAGGCTACGTTTTAAGGCTCAGTGACTAGGACCTAGGTTTCAGGGACTACGACTTAGGCTTTAGGGACTAGAATCTAGTCTTTACGGACTAAGACAATAGGTCTTTTAAACTAGGACCTAAGTCTTACGTACTGGGACCATAGGTCTTTGAGACTGGAACTGGGTTTTTGGAACTGGGATCATAGATCTGTGGAACTAAGACATACAGGATGTAGGGACTTGAACTTAGGTTTTATGAACTGGAACCTATGTCACGGGGACTAGGACCTAGAACTTAGGCACTATAACTTGGATTTTAGAAATTGGGACCTGGAACTTAGGATCAAGTGTTTAGATCTCAGATTGTAGTTGAGTCTAGCTTCCACGTTCGAGGGGATTTAAAAAGAGAATTTGCAAGTTTCGCAATTTTGGAGGTTAAATATTTCGGTATTTGGTGATATTGTGGTTTACAAAAGGAATTAGGAAATTAAAGAATTTTGGAGATCAAGAACTAAGGAATTTGGGAATTTTAAAGATGAACATTTGTTAATGCTGGAGTTTGCAAATTAAAGATTTAGGAACTTGAGAACCTTGGGGATTAAAAGGTTGAAAAATCAGAATTTTTAAATTTGAAAGTTGTGGAGATAACAAAATTTAAGAACATAAAAATTTTGGTAACATAAGAATTATGGAAGTTAAGAATTCGAGAATTTGGAAATTGTGGAGGTTAAAATACTCGAACACCCTAATACTTAAATATTCAAATACTTATATATTCTAATACTTAAATACTACAATTCTAGAATACCATAAACGCTCAATTATTTTAATATTAACCAGCATCAAAATATTAACCAATCACAAAAATTGAACCGCAACTCAAAAGGTAATAACAAAAGCAATCACATATACAAGTTCACTCGCATCCACACGATCAATATCAGAAACTTCCAGTTAATCGTAAACATTGGCGTTCAAATGCACACCGAGTGCCTGTTACCAACCCACGTATCCTTTTAAATTAATAATTGCGACGTGAACATTATTTATGGTAGATAGAATACGTCTGAAATTAAGTCTGAAAAGCAACTTTAGGTTTCACAGAGGTTCGCACTGTAATTCCTCACACATCCACCCTTGTAAGGCTTCGTCTCTAGGAACTCAAGTGGAAGAGACGAACAGGTTGCACGTCTAAATGATCGATTGCGAATCTGCGATGGATCGTGCGTGTAATGAGCGTGTGTACACTTTGGTGCAACGTAGCTTTTCTTGGCTGACAATCGTAATAAATATAATGGGAATTAATTTTTTTTCGATTCTGAGGATAATTACGTGAATAGTAGAGAAATTATGGGGAGACTCTAAGTAATATTTAAAGACATTCTAGGGAGATTATAAGGAATATTTGAGGAGGTTCTATAGGAATGTCCTAGCGGAAATTTAGAAAGAGCTTGCAAACTTAGAGCTTGCAAACTTGTAAACTTGTAAACCTGTAAACTTGTAAACTTGTAATCTTGTAAACTTGTAAACTTGTAAACCTGTAAACCTGTAAACTTGTAAACCTGTAAACTTGTAAACCTGTAAGCTTATAAACTTGTAAACTTGTAAACTTGTAAACTTGTAAACTTGTAAACTTGTAAACTTGTAAATTTGTGGATTTTGGAAATTGTAAAAATTTCGTAATTTCGTAATATAGACTTTAAGAATGTGAAAATATAGAAACTTAGAAAATATGAAGTTTGGAAATTTAGAGATTTCTAAATGTAAAAGCTTGAGAGTTGAAAAATCTGTAAACGTAAAAGCTTGAAAGAAAATATTTGAAAATCTAAATTTAACAGTTCGAAAATCTAAAATGTCAGAAATTAGGATATCCAAAAAAGTATAAGAAAAACCTACTAACCTAACCTATTTAAATACATACTTTTATCCATCCTCTTAACCAGCATCAGTCTGCATTGCACTCAGTTGTACAGCATTCTTCAAATCTATAAATGGCCACATCTTTTCATAACAAAAAAAGGTGAATGATACGATGGTTGAAGAAGATCGCGAGATATTGGATACCGTGAAGGAACATCGATAAATGTACACGCCAGAACATCTCAAGATCGTTTATGATGTTTCTATGAATACAAATACTCTGTAAAGGAAATGATTTATTGACATTTCGCTGAACTGACAGCCTTTTGCTTTATTGATTCGATGTTAGCTGTGAATTGTATTCATAACCGAACATAATTGTGTTCTATTAGGCTGATTAGGACAGCATAATAAAATGTGATACAACCATTTTAGATTTCTTCGGTAGATTTTTGAAGCAAAATTACAGTCAAAATGCCGGAACTGGCGTAAATTGCGTAACCAGGTTCTGTCATGAGTATATCAGTAAGAAAATATCAAATGACATAATATCTACTTTTATATGATTACACAATGTTTCTCGAGTTCATGTGAAATTTAGTAAATCCGTTATAAAATTTGTCAGCAATTTCATAACATTTATTGATATTGTGATAAATAAAATTGTATACTGTTATAACAAATTTTTACAGTATTTAATTTTCTGTATTTTTTTCGCTGTATTGTTATATTAAGTGGTATTCAGACGTTGTTTGTCCGCCTTTCCATTATGCGATTTAATTACATTTGCAATATCCATTAGTAATCACCGCCATACATCCGCTGCAATAAAGGTAAATAGAGTTAAAAATCTGCAGAAATTAATCTTCTCTGATGGTTGAAACGTTATGAAACGTTTAGCAAAATGCCAATATAAACAACTGAAAAGATTAACACATTAACTGTTACTAATCTTTTAATCAGTCGAAAAATTTGCATAAGCAAAAACATAAAAAACAAATTTCCAAATTCTGAAATCCCAAGTTTCTGAAATTCCCAAATTCCCAAATCCCTAAATCCCCAAACTTCCCAATTTTGAAATACCAAGTTTCCAAAATTCCTAAATTTTCCAATCTCCAAATTTCCAAATTCTGAAATCCCAAGTTTCTGAAATTCCCAAATTCCCAAATCCCTAAACCACCAAATTTCCAAATTTTGAAATCGCAAGTTTCCTAAATCCCTAAATCCCCAAATCCCCAAATTTCCAAATTCTGAAATCCTAAGTTTCTGAAATTTCCAAATTCCCAAATCCCTAAAATTACTAAATTTCCAAATTTTGAAATCGCAAGTTTCCAAAATCCCTAAATCCCTAAGTCCCCAAATCCCCAAATTCCCAAATTTCTAAATTCTAAAATCACAAGTTTCTGAAATTCCCAAATTCTCAAATCCGTAAATCCCCAAATTTCTAAATTTTGAAATCGCAAGTTTTCTAAATCCCTAAATCCCCAAATTCCTAAATTCCCAAATTCTCAAATCCCTAAATCCCCAAATTTCCAAATTTTGAAATCGCAAGTTTCCTAAATCCCCAAATCCCCAAATCCCCAAAGTTCCAAATTCTGAAATTCCAAAATTTCCAAATTTAAAAATCCCAAGCTTCCAAAATTATAAAAAACCTTCTCTCGTCTTCGTATCAACAGCAGAATTAATTACACAAACGGTAATCCCGGTGCAAAAAGAAGTGTCACAGCATGCGAATTATTTTTAAAAGGGCGCGACACAAAAATGGAACGTTAACGAAAGAAAATAATATTCTTTGAGACGAAGCTGTTTTTATAAGAACGCAACGCCTTGATTCCCGTCCGAGAACAATGTAACTAATTCAGGGAACGTGGTTAATTATTCACGGTCGCAGTTTGCGAAATTTCAAGCGAACGCGTTGGCCGCCATCTAAATACGGAGCAGTCGGATCTTCTGTTATTGTGAATCGTGATTCATGCCAGGAGAGATTTTTTTTGCTCGTTCATTCTTTCCCCGGCTATTGTGCCACGGTCAGTTAGAAAGGCACACGTCGGCTTAGAACCGGTAGGCCATTCCGCTTTTAATTCGTAAAACGCCTCGTTTAACGCTCAAGCAACCAAGAGCATTAATGATTCAAAGGTTCATCCAGTTTTCGTTGAATATGCAAAGAAGAACGTATTTAAAGAGACCTCATCAGGTGCAGTTCCCGTTCCCTGAACGAATGAGGAATCTTAAAAAAATCCTTTGCTGAATTCTTCTTTATTTCACTTTTAAGGGGACATTGGTTTTAAGCATTTATTAGCATCGTGTCATACTTTGCATGCATTATTTTGTAAAAAAAATCCATTGCTTTGCAAAAAAATAATCTATGCTTATTTATTTCATTTCAGTGCTTCTCTCATTTGCTTCAATCTCTTTTTAGATAAACTGAATGCATCGTTTTTCTTAAAACATTTAAAATTTTAGTCTCATGCAATTAAATCTGTTATTTCACATTTCGAAGTTCGGAAAAATTGTTATATTCTAAATTTTAACTGTTTCAGTTTCGAATATTGCGTGAAAGTATTTTTAATAGTGTTTAAAGAAGTAAGAAATATGTTTATTTGAGTAAGGC